CCATTAAATTGTTCTGGCAAAGACTCGTTTTAGTCGAAAACAGAGCAAGTTTGATTAAGGAGGAAACTGAATAAAACTAGGGTTGTTATTTTTCCTGGTTAAATGGCACTTAACCCAAACACCTAACGAATTCCCGGCTAGAAGTCTCTTAACTTGATCCATTCATTTGTCGATCAAGTGCGGCATCTATAGAGCATCAACCTTAATTATTCCATGACAGCGGCCTGGCAGCCGCGGTCGATCACTGTACTCTTTTTTACCGGAGCAGTGAGGGAGAAAGGAAGAGCATATGAACCGCACCGTCGACCTCAAGTCTATCAGTTGAATTACTGTCACGGGTTGTGGACGTGAAATATGGTTGCTTTAAATAACCTTTACCTTTAAAATTTGATCGTCTGGACAAGAGGTATGTTAACAAATGTTTGTAGACGGACTTTTGCCACAAAACAATGACAATGGAACACTGACCTTTCTCCTATTTTCGAGACCCTGGGCAAATGTCCTTTTTATCTTGATTCAAAAGCTATGGCTTCAGAACTTTAAAATCAAAGACAATTTATAAGAGACGACAAATGCTCACTTTATTTATACCTTGCGATACCGGATTAAAGCTTGATCAATCGCTTTCAAGACATGATTTTGTTTACCGGTGTTATCCCTGCCTGTAACCATATTAAGCTGGCAGAACTGGAACACGACTTATTTGGCACACTCGGAGACACCTATCTCGATCGGCAGAGATCACTTCAAGCTTTATATGAAACATCGGCTGTTGTTACATTTGCATGTGACCATGCCAAGTAGGTTTAACGTATAGGTCAAGCTCAAACAACCCATTTTATTTCCTTCACCGTTTTTATGGACCAGACGAAGCTGTCTGAATAAAGACAAATAATAACAAGTAAAAAATGGAAAGTTTTGAAACGAAACGTTTAGACAATCTCTCAATGTTTATCTTGTTTTGTTCTTGCTATGTTAAGAAAGGAGCCGTGTTCAACATGTACAGAACTCAACACTACTGGTCGGTTATACTAAACGTGCGTTCAGTGAAGTATGAGTTCTGTCTATTCTTAAGCTCTCAGGCGTGAATGTACACATCATAAAATCAAAGTAATTTCTTTTGAACCGTTAACTCACTTTGGTTTGCAAATGAACGATTAATAAAAAATAAGCTGAAAGTGACCGTATAATTTTGGTATTTGACAGAACAGGAAAAGGAACACGCACCTAGACAACAAGCCATCGATCCGTTAAGTGTTGAATTGGTTTTATAACTTGGCCCGTTTAGTTTAGAGAAGCGAATCTCACTATCAAATGCAGAATGGTTAAATTTGATTTTCCATTTTTGTAGATTAATTTTCCTACAGTCTATTTTAGTTCTTTTTTTCTTTTTTTTTTTTCTTTTTTTTTTTTTTTTAAAAAAAAGATCTTTTAATTATTTTTTGGGAATTTTTTTACGCGGAAGTTTTTTAGGTTTTTTATTTTTTTTTTGTTGTTTTTTTTTCATGTTTTTTTTGTTTTTTTTTTTTTTTGGCAG